AGAAATATTTTGAAGGGACAGACATTTTTAATTTGCAAACACTTTTACAAATTCTGATTGTAAATTTGATTTAATCCTGTCTTTATTCAAGCTGATGAGAAAACTTCCTTCCGAAGGAGTTGTGTGTCAGATCCCTATTTATACAGCGGTCGGTTCTCCATTGCTTCTTAATGCAGATTTTTGTGGTGCCTGTCTCCAGGGTATCTCAACCTTTCTTCAAAGCTGAAATGGGAAGTTAGTCATGAGATCTGTGGTGGTTACAAGCCAGATGTTCTTTTTTTCTTTTTTTCCCTTACTTTGCAAGTGGAAGGACAGAAGGCAGTTTCTTCAGTATGTTCATTCTTAGGGTGCCATTTCCCCACATGAAGTGCTGTCTGGTGTTCTTGTTTTGTTTGTATTTTCAAAATCCTAGAGTCATAAAAGGATTTTTGTATGGTTGATCTAATTTTACACATATTTAAGAAGCCATGTGTGTTAACATAGCACAGAAAGGCTCTGCATAGTCAAGACAAAAAAAGCTCTTGCAGCAGTGTGCATAATTATAGGGCTGCTGTTTAGTCATCATTCACTATGTGTGGATCTTTTTTGTGAGTTCAACATTTATTCCATTTCAGATGTAAAAAAAAAAAAAAAAAAAAAAATTACATGAAGAGGTTAGTTCACTCAGCGTAGTAGTGCTTGACCCTGAATCTATTAAAAGCTACTGTAATATCAAGGCTAAAGACTAACAGCCTCATAGGGGATGTGTTTACAGGGCTCTGCAGCTCGCTTCAATTTGGAAAAGTGCTTGGAGGACCCGGCCCTATGTGCAAAGATAGAAACGAGACATTCAGATTTAAATTAAAGAAATAATTTTTCCGCATTTTTTTTTTCTGCTGGGATGCATGCATTTGGAACAATAGAGGAATATACCGACTGACTATTTGTAAACGGAAAATGGTTTTCTTTTAATATATTGCTCATATCAAAGTTTATTTGCTTTTGCCTTTTTTTTTTTTTTAATCTTCCTATAAACTGCTGCAAATCAGCCAAAAGAAATCAGCAGCTCAGTTGTTGTTTGCCTGCAAATGAGTTGCCAGCATCCTGTAATGCTGCTAGCTTGAAATACAGTCTCATCTAATTTACAGTAATGAGAGCCGAGTTGGGCCAAGTGGGGTGGTTCCCCRGGAGCAGGAGTGTGGGTGGAAACGCTGTTTTCTGTGGCATTCTGCTCTCCATTCTGTTGCTCTTAAAATCCTCATGCCTAAATCTGCTGGTAAGAGATTTTGAAAGAAGAAAGAATGTATTCTTTAGGTTTAAAGGGTAAAAATCTGGAATTAGTCATGCTTGTATTGGTTCCTTTTATTTATCAGAAGCATTTGATAGTTTCAGAGTTTGAATCAATTTTGCTGACTGGGGGAGATTCTGAGTAGCTACTAGTGAAGGTACACTATTCTAGTGAAGCAATAGTGGGTCTCTTACCGTGAATTACATTCTGCTCCTTTCCTTCCTCCCCACCCCACCCACTTTGCTTATCTCGCTACAATGTGGTTTTTAACTGATATTTTATAAGTGTGCTGGGAGGCTTGTGAAGAAGAAAAGGAACAAAGCGAAACATGTAGTTGGTTCCTTGAGTGCCTCATATACTCTTTGAATCACAATAATTATTTTATATTTGCTCGGTTTTTGCAACCTATTTTATGGATTGGTATGCTTTTGATCATGAGGAGTCACTGAGTAGAGTGATGAAACCCTTGGTTTTTGTGTGGATGAGGATTTTTCTGAGGAATTGCAGAATCTGTTCCTTGAAGTGCAACATAACCCCTGAGGGCATGTTCTCAGTTTCTGAAACTTGTCCAATCCACTGTGCYCAGTGCCGCTGTGACCTTTTGCATAAGCCAAGATGTTACACCTTCGTGTGTGTTTGATGTTATATGTACACCAACATCAGGTAAAACAAAAACAGAAAAACAGATCAGAGGGTGTAATAGCAGAACTTCRAGAATTGGACAAGTAAGTCATCTGTATACCTGAATGTGGCTTGATAAATCTGCTGTAATCCTTTGAAGAAAAAAGAACAAAACAAAGGAGATCATCCCCATCAGATGTTAAAAAAATAGATTTATGTAGAGGAGGACCATGTAGTAAAGTACAAAGCAGATGGTTGCAGAAAAGGTTTATACAGCCTTAGCAAGGAGATTTAATTTCAATGCAGTGCTGAGCAGCGAATGCTTTTTCTACTTTTTTGAAGCAACAGCTCTGCTTTCCTTGTCTTCTGTGAGAGACTTGAAAGGTAGTTCCCYGTTGTCAGTAAAAGTTAAGGTCTCATTAGCTGCTTTCAAGTTGTTGTATAATGTTCATACACCACGATTTGCTCTGCTTTCAGGCAGGTGAGTGCCTTGTTTGATGGGTGTCAGTGGAGTTTTCAGTAACATGGACTGAAAACTGTCTTGAGTAGTTTTAAATCCTGTGATGGAATGATAATCACTGCCTTAAGTAGGAAGCTGTTTCTGTTTTGCTTCCTTCCCCTCTGTGCTCTAATTATAGTCTGGTAGGTGGTGGTTTGCATCCTCCAGGCAGCAAAGGGGAAGCTGGGAGTGCTCATTTCAGCTSAACCCCCCTGGTGCACTGAATTGCCTGGCCCCTGGAAAGCCAGGCTGCAGCTCATCCTAAAAGCAGCTTCACTTGTGGTCCAAGCCCATAGGTTTCACTCTGGTTACTCAAGGGGTATATTTAGCCCTCTTGGTAGTGCAAGCAAGCTAAGGAACAAAGCGTAAGAATGTCTTTCAGCTTCTGGAGGGCTGCTGGTGTTCCTGGCATATGCTTGAGTTTCGCTGTGCTTATTGGGAGATGTGAAAGCAAGAGAAACTTTGAAAGGTCCTTTAACGTTATCATGAAACATTAGTAAGAGCCACGAACTGAAAGATGAAGAGGTTCCAGGAAAATGAGCTAAGCTTTAATCCAGGCTTGTGGCTGTCACGTCCCTGCCAGAGACCAGGCTCTTCTTGTAATTGCATTTGCCTCTCTGGGTGACCCGTCAGGGGAGCTGGAGAAAGCAGATGAAACCAAAGCATCCTCAGGTCACCAGAGTCAATGTCTAGTTTCAAACATGGTGGCAGAAATGCTGTCCCCACAAGAGGGAAATGTAATTCCTTGCAATCAGTGAGTGGTAGTTCTAATCTCTACACTGTTTGAAATCCAGAATAATAATTAGATCCTCGATTTCAGGGCAAAGGGTTTTTTAAATTTTAGATTTTTTAGYGTGTTCTGCCATGCTGGTGTAGTAATTGTACAGCGATGTCTGCTGGAATGGATAATGAAGGCAAAATTTGGGAATAGTAACAGGATGTGTTACTGCTATTGATCAAAGGCTACAGGGCTGTTTTTAAACACTGCTTCTCTCTTTGATCTTTTTTTCCTATTGATTGAACAGAGYAGATAAACAACTGTCTGTGTAGCATGACCATTTATTATGGCTTTTAAGCTGACTAAGGACAGCTTTGAATTAAATATGAGAGTTTAAATGATGGTTTTCCAATAAGTGCTGTCTGTAAAGACTGGCATGACAATACAGTTTCATGTTGGCATGGTGTAGGGAAATGTAAATACAGGCATTGTTTTTCTTTCTTATTCAAAAAGAAGGTAATGTATTGCAAAATTGATTATAGGAGAGGCAGAAGTGCTATTTTTAATATGTAGTTACATGTGGGCAAAAGCTGCTTTTCTTTTTTTGATATAGAATTATGTGTGTAGTGCTGTTAATAAACTGTATGGTCAGTTTTCAAGAGTTTTGTGTAAATCAGTAATTTTAAAATATGGATACAAATGGAGCTACCAGGTACAATCTGGTACTTCTGCAGTCATTTCAATGAAATTAATAGAAAACTTTCCATTGACTGTTTAATGAGTTGGATTGGACCCTGGGCTGTCATTGTTAATGTCTTGGAAAGGTCAGGATCGATTTCCTGGCATTCTTTTTGTCTCTAAGGAGGCTCTTTGCAATTCTGTGGAAGACACAGTGATATTGTTATCCCTCTTCCTTGATAATTCCCTGTRTAATTTATGTTCTACCTACCATCCAAGCCTTTAGGCAAAAACAGAAGACCAAAAAATGCTGCATTTTAGGGAAATTGTTTGTATCTTAAATGCCTAAAATAGTATTTCTGCATAATTTCAAGTTTTCTCCTGCCTGTTCAGGTTATTTTGAATTTTATTCYAGTATTGTTGTGCTGTTATTTTTCCTTACTGATTGGGTGCATGATAAAAAATAAAGAAGGAAAAAAACCAAAATGCTAGTCCTGTGGATGGAATCAGCCTGCCTTGTTGCAGTGGTGAAAGTAAGCTGTGTTGCATTTAAARTAATACTATTTCACTGCAGTCCCCTAACGTGGCATGTACAGGGACAGCTGMACATCTCTGGGGATCCAAATCTTTGGATTCCTACCTTTTCAAAACCACTCCAAGCCTCTGCAAAGTTTCCACCAAGCAGGCTTGTTTGTGTTGCCATGAGAAGGCTATTTCTACTGCACCAGTTCATGGAAAGGCTATTTCTACTGCATCAGTGCTGTCGGAGTGCTGAAATGTTGGTGTTATTAGTCTGCTCTGGAAGCTTGCTTGGGCTGCCCTCGCAACATTCCTAATGGAATGGTTTCTCTGGCTCTGCTGGGTAATGCGCCCTGTGTTGGGAAGCACAGCATTTGCTTTTACACACAAATGGCTATGCTGGATGGACTGCAGTCCTTGCAACAGGAATGCAAACTCCGCCCAATAAAATAGAAGGCTTGGAGGGAAGGCAGTTTTAGGAGCAGGGCCTGGGGAGATTCATTCCCAATGCTGATGTTTGAAAAGGATGAGCCATGGCCTCACTTTTCTTCTGAAATGTGTAGTATGTCCCACTTGCCACAGGACAGGAAGGAAGAGTCAAATATTAATTCTTGAAATGAAATCAGGTGAAGTGTTGACATCAAGAGTTTCCTAGATACGACTCCATGACTCACTATCATTCTTTCTTTGATTTTCAGGATACTGGGGTTGGGAAATCGAGCATCGTTTGTCGGTTTGTCCAGGACCACTTTGATCATAACATTAGTCCTACTATCGGGTAAGTGCCACACATAATATCACTTTAATTTTCACTGGTCAATGGGATTTCAAACCTGATCCTTGAGTGATTTAAATCCTAAGGTCCTACAGCCAAAACGGTCTAAAGTGGGAAGCTCTCGACAAAACAAAAACCAAAACCCCAAGACCCAAGAGGCTGTGATCTGCGCCATGAGCAGGCCATGCCATAAAGGGGTAGTGACAGGAAAACCATGGGAAGCCATGAAAGTACCTTTTTTGAGTGTCCTGGTGGGCTGGAACATGGACAGTCTCTGTTCCCAGGTATGGATGTGCTTTTGTCTAAGTTTAGGATGTGTCACATTRTCCTTTCTTAAAATAGTGACAATGCAGTTAAATTAAGTATAATTAATTTATAATTAATTTATGTGTCTTTTAAAAACTACTCAGATTCTGTGTGTCAGACCATCAGAATCTTGTTAGTTCTGTAGTAGATTTAAATTCAGAATTTTTTTTCTTTAAATATCTTCGGGACAAATCTTCCAAATACAGTGCTACCTGGAAAATTTTAAAGTTATGGATCTATGGGAAAGGAAGCTAACATGGAACGTTAGGAAAGAAGTGATTTGGAGGAAAGGGCTRAGCTGGCCTGTGTGTCAGAGGTGTTTTAAGTTGCCTGTGAAGGGTTGGTATTGATTGCTGTGTGCTGTTCAGAGGGTTGGACTGCACCTTCTGAAGCTCTGCCTTGCACTGTGTGAAGGARTCTCAGCTGGAAGCTGCACATAGAAGTTCCAGGACAATTTTGGATTCCCTGAATGTACTGAATGGAAAAAAAATGGACAGAGGGAAAGGAAGCATGTCGTGAATGAAATTACTGGCTGAAGGACACTTGTTTGCAGTGAAGGAATTGATGGCAACATGAGTATTTTTTTTTTGCTTCTAAATCATTAGCATCCTTTTTCCCCAAGTASTTGTTGCTAAATAAATGCCTTCTGCTCCAACTGGAAAATTATTTTCCTCTGTTAACATAATTATGAAAACTAAAGGRATTTTTTTTTCCATTGGAAGATTAAAATACGAGGGCTAACTTCACACAGGTGATACTATTTGTCTGCAGAGATAAGGGGATTTTTTCTTCCAAATTATTCAGCTGTTTAAAATATATAATCCTTGCAATCAACAGTAGCCACTGTGGATCTATAAAGTTCCTATTTTTGAAGCTGTGGAGTGTTGCTTGTTGCTTTGAGGAGAGTGACAACTGAAAGAACACACCTGGAAAACAACCAAAGAAATGCTGCTTTTCTTTTTTTCCCTTAGTTAGTATTTTGTTAAGCAATGCAGCATGGTTAAATTCAAGCAATTTGCAGATGGCTGTAGAGGAGAACTCTGGTCTGTCATTCTCAGGAAATGTTTTGTTCAGTCATATGCCATTTGATGTCATTCAGTGCTTTTGTAATGACAGTGCATTGTATCAAATGCATCTTTACGAGCCAGGAAAAATGTTACTGCATCAAAAATGGTTCAGCAGTACCCAGACAGGATGGGGAAAATTGAAATCTGCCAGAATTTGGCAGTTTCTCCTACCAGCTTTTAAATTAACTGTTGTAATAGAGAAGCCTATAAATTTGTAACCTTCTTTCCCTAAAAGAAAAAACTTTGGAAACATAGACGTACATATCTAATTTCCTATGGAAAATAAAAGAAACTGCGAAAATTTCTTCATCCTGTTGAAAGGGAGAAAAACTGTGCTTTCCAGCAGGTGACTTCTGTGTTCCCTGGAGATCCAGTCTTATATATAAAAGTGAAAAGTGGCTCATGATGTTGTCTTTTGCCTTTTTCTCCAGTCTGTATCACCAAGAGGATGGAGTTAGCAGGCATCAGAAGCCACGAGTGAATGGCAGAGCATTTGTGTTCCTGGACTCATGAACAAATGCCCTCTGAACTTCAGAGGCTTTTCCCTTCCTTTAAAAAATACATCTATAGGTAGCATAAGCCGGGAGAAAAGGGAAACTTCTACTTCTGCAGGCGTTTTATCAAGGTTTTGGAGTGTTCCCCATACGCAGTCTAGTCCAGCAGAACTCACTGAGGTCTCCAGGTCGTATATTCAGAGTGTCAGTTATGCTCCAAATTTCTCTTTCTTCCTTCTTTCCAGAGCATCCTTCATGACTAAAACTGTGCCATGTGGGAATGAGCTTCATAAATTTCTGATCTGGGACACAGCTGGTCAGGAACGGGTGAGTGTTCGTTCGCAGAATGCTTTTGTTATCCTGGTCTCTCTTAATGTGTTCATGTACTTTTTCTAAACCTTTCATCTTCAGAAGACTTTGTGAGTATAAACCTACTGAATCTCTGCAAGGCTCTGCAGTGCAGGTGGTCAGCAAGCACCGAGCGTGTGGATTCCTTTTTCACAGATGGGCAAAATGCAGAGACAGGCAGACCATATCACTTAACAAAAAAAACAAAAACAAAAACAAAATCATGGTGTGGATTGTCAGCCACCTTCCCCAAAGCAACTTGAGCAGTGCCCCACGACCTCCAGTTCCTCTCTGCTTTCATCAGGTTTGTGTGTGGCAGCTTTCATTGGCATTGAAAGGCCTTGACTTCCAGCCCATGGGCTGACCTTAGGTGGTGACTCTGGGGTTCTCTTGGCTTGGGACACTGAATATGGGCATGGCTTGTGCCTGCTRTTGTTGTTTTGGAAATTACCACTGACAACCTTAACGACTTGGGGTTTTTATCATGAATTTTTTCACGTATGTGAAGTGAATTGCGCAGATCAATCAGCTTTTCCTTTTGACTTTTCAAAAAAAAAAGAAAAAAAAGCCATAATGGATTTTTGGGCATTAGTTCATCTTGACTGTATGTAAGTCTGGTTGATTTTTTTTATTTTTTCCTTTTAATAGCCTCAGTGGCAGTAGTATGCAGTAATGGACTGTAGAGCTGTAGGTTTCTTTTAATATATGCCCACATTTGTCTTGAGAAACTTGAGAGAAATGGAAAAACCTGTGCACACTTCTAAAACATCTTCAAACTTGTGAAATGGCACAGCATCCCTTCATAGAAAAATGTAGCTGTGCTGACATTAGTTTGGGATAAAATGAGATGCTTATACAAACTGGGATGCCAGTCCTRATACATCCTACTGGATTCTCCATACCTTGTATGTGAATTATGGGCAAAACCGATTTTGCTGTTGAGTGCAGGAAATGCTTCTGCTTTTATTTACAATGCACAGCATGATGTAAAGTGACCCTGATGAAATCTGTTGGCTCATAGCAATTCAGCATGTTATTTATGATGGGAAAATGGACCTTGAAAAGCATATTTGAAGTATGGCCTAATTCCTTCCCTTGAATCTTGTTTGTTCCATTTCTGCATGGTCTGGAGCTGATAACTGACTAATTGCAAGAGGTAGCAAAAGTTCAGTTTTTTTCCCATGGTTTCAGTTTCCTCKCCTATTATCTCTCTTTACTCTCCACTGCTCTGCTCCCCTTGCTTTTTCTTTTCCTTTTAGCACTTTACATATGAAATTCAGTTAGTTAAATTTTGATGTAAGTATTAATCTATTTTCCTACATAGTCTAAAGACTCTCAAAGCTCTTGTAAAAGTAAGTGAATAGTAATATTCATGTTTACTGAAACAAATGAGACTCATTTGAGGCAGGAAATCTGTGGCTGAGTTCTGACTCTTGGACACAAAATTCATCCTTTCCAMCTAGTCCCTTATGTTTCCTCTCAATTTTTTTTTAGTTCACCATTTTTCAAACATCTGCTTTCCTTTTTTTTTTGTGAGTATGTGTCAAACACTGGTGAGCAGTGAGCACCCGCAAACTTTGTTAGATTGCTTAGACTCTATTACAGATAAGTCACGTTACAGGTTGTCATTAATTAGTAATTATGAATTAGCCCAGGGACCATCTTTTTATTCTGTGTTTGCACAATGTCCTCCCAGTCCTTCGCCAGAAGTGATACAATAAACAAAGTTCATTGGGGTAGAGTGCAAGCTACAGAGGCAGACAGCTTTCCCAGGGTGAGGTCCATCCTGGTCCAGGTCGTTCTCTSTCTTAAAACATTCCCATTTTACAGCCAAACACATGATGCTTCTCAATATCTTATTCACTTTAATCAGGACTTTYCATTGCTTTCTTTTGTTGCTCCTTCTGATCTGCTATTCAAGAGCAAATGTCTCCCCCTGTTAATTTGTCTCATTACCCCCTGAACAGCAATGATGGCCCARAGCTTCCAGCCTATCCCAACTTCTGGGATTGAGCTGAAGCCTCACTTAGGCCAGGAAAGTCAAGCTCAAACCTTAACCATGGTGGAGCAGGCAGGTGGAAACAAGAGTAGTGGCACTTCCATGATCCTCGTTCATGAGTTTGTCCTTTTTAATGAGTTTTTGCTTCCCTGTTCATGATTTTCTCTGRGAAACTGCAAGCTTGGAGTCAGTGCTGCAGAATCACAGTAATGCAGCAGAAAATGGAGATTAAAAGCGCTTCTGTGAGATGCTTGGTGGGGGTGAATGATGAGTGTGCTTCTTAGGAGGAGACCCTGGAGAGGGGTATGCGGCTTGYGGTGAAAAATTCACATTGTGCTGGATTACAAAAGGAGACAGATCTTCTTAATCCTTTTATCTTGTTTTTTGTTTTTTTTTTTTTCTTTCCCTTTTTCTTGACTAGAAAGAAACAAGCTGGCAGCACACTTCACAAAATCCTCCTACCTTCTGTGCCTAAGTACAGGTCTCTGTGGACCTGGTTGCTTTGTGTTGGTATGCTATCCAACAAATTCACTTTATTTTCTTCTTCACAGTCACATTCCCTCCACACCAGTGTTTCCCAAATGTCACTTTTTTCCCTCCTATCTCACGTTTTCCCCATTAGCTTTGAATTGTTGCCACAGACTTCAGGACTTACATGCCCAACAAAGATTCCCTCCCCTAAGAGGARTCTCCTCACAAGTTAGTTAATGATGTTTTTATTAGCATGTATTTTGGTTCATGGTRCCCTAAGTAGCTTCTAATTACAATGCTTTGTTTGAATACCTTGGGTGGCTGCCAGCTTTCCATTTTGCCAGCTGAGGAATATTGAAACAAACAGTTAGGRAGTCTGAAGGCCGTGTTTCTAGGGCAAGAAAATTTATCTCTGTCCTTTTAAAATTTGTTTTATTGAACTCTGGGACTTTTAATTTTGTTTAATAGAAGAAGCCTCAATTACTTGAGCCCAGTTTAAAGCTCAATAGGAACTACCCTGAGTTGTGAGCTTTTTCTTTTTTTGTTTTTTAACCTTCTCCATTTCCAGGAAAAGGCTGACTGATGACATGTCCACAGCTCTTTATAGCTCCCTCTTTTCTGAGTGGCAGTAGTTGTCCTGGTGATGCAGAGACAGTGTCACAACACCATCTATCAATGACTTGAATTGTTTCTGCAGGCAAGACGCAGCCTGAATTTTGTTCTGTGGTGTTATAAAGGTGCTTATGATGGTCTCCCACAGCTCAGAGTGGGGGTGGTTCATTGTGTGTGGTGTGAGGACCTCCCTGCAATAAGCAACCTCTTGCATGCTCCAAATGCTGACAGGTGATTTTACCAAATGTGTGTGAGAGCACAAGTGGCATTACAGCTAGCAAGCGAGTATGTTATTTTTATTATTTTCAGAATGAGCATAAAGCACAGTAAATCATTTAAGGCATGCATGTAAATGTGTTTTTTCTTAAGCTTCAACAAACTTGGAGCATGTGTAGCTTGATGGTGAGTTGTGGTTTTGGTGAAGTGTCTTTTGCATCCTTTGTTTAAAGACAGTAAACTTCATAAGGGATAAGCATAAGTCACTCCTGTGGTGTTACAAACATTTGTTTTCTGCTTATTTAAAATAACTTTAAAGATTATCCTAAAATGTTGGAATTCTTCCCTCTTCAGTTAAAGAATTCTTAGACATTGGAAAAAATGCTCATTTTTTTATACACAGCTATACCTTTATATTTAATCGTCAATTCAACTAGCAAAAAATACCTGTAGATTGAGACAGACAGATCTTTCCTGATTTATTCAGCTTGCAAATCCTGAGAACTGGAATTTCAGCCCTCARTCATGTAACATAAACTACTCAAGGTTTTAAAACGCTAAATGGTATCTGAAAGTGTCTTTCATGCATAACATTTTTCCCGTTTGCTCTTTGCCAGCTGAGAATGTCAGGAATTTTCTATTGCTCCCTGTTCTAGAAGCTGGTGTGTCAGGATCATCTGTTTAATGCTTTTGGGTTTTGCCTTTGCTTYTCTCTGTTCCACCACAGTTTTCTGTTTGCTGCAGCCACTGCCTTGAAGGTGACAGGAGCTGGGTGTGTAAATGCCCAGGCTTGGGAAGTGTAATCCAGGTGGGTTTTGGGGCAGGACTGAAAGGGCTTTGCGGGGGTGGCCTGGCAGGAAAGGCCAAGGGCAGGAGGAACAGGACACCCAAAATCACCTGCAGACGTGTGGGAATGGCCTGCTGAGCAGGGGACTGATGTCTGTTTACGATATGAGTCCAGAAAGTGTGAGTGTGTGTAACAGGAAGGGGAAGGAAATTGCAGGGCTGTGACACCACCTGCACGTGTCAGAGAGCAGCAGAGCCACAGGCTCTGGCTGTCCTTGCCATTAGTGGCACCCAGATAAAGGAAGAGTAAGGATCTCAGACCGACCCTGAGAGGAGCCAAGTGGTTTGGTGTTGGCCACCCRGATGCAATGTATGTTGTCAGAGAGCTGCTTCGTAGGAAAGGGAGTGAAATGTAGTCAAATGATCACAGCTGTCAGGAAGCAAATCTTGTGCTGCTGTGCACCTGCAGGTGCTTGAGAAGGCACTGAGAAGGAAAACCGTAGCTGAATTCAAAGTGTGTAACACTTGCTGAGCACTGCTGTGATTCTGCTCAGTCTGTGCCCCCTCATCCTCTCCAGCTGTGCTTAGAGGCAGAATTATAATCCTTCTGCACTAAGAGCAGGTGATGTTCTTTACAGCCTAGAATAGCAAAAGCAACCAAGTACAGGAGTTAGGTGGTGGTTGTAGTTGCTGGTTTTGGCTTTGCTTTTTCCCCCTTGGCTRTGGAGTTGGGAAGAGGCAGCCCTGCTGTGGCTGTGTGCCAGTCCCGGGGTGCAGCWCCACAGGATGCTGCAAAGAGCTGCTGACATGAATTAATGTTCCCTGGTGTGCCTGGCAGATTGAATGAATCCCAACTGTCTTCAGCAGCATTTGTCAGCCTGAATATAAACAAGCAGGAGTGGTARTTTTTATTTCTGTATTTATTTGGCCTCTGTTTTGCTTTCTAAATCAGCGTTACATTAGACAGTGTTARGAGACTTTTGCTACCACAGCTCAGRTGTGATTCACACTGTGTTCCCTTGATTTTGGTTTTCTGTTCCAAGTATGGTGTGATGGTTTTTCTTCTTCCCCATTTTTAACTGCTAGTAAAGAGGAAATGTGAAAAGTGTTACCTGTACCAAATACACCCCAAATACTCACATGATGAGCTGCACAGGAAGCAGAAAGCAAAATGCTACACTGCCTTTAAATAGGTGGTAAATAGGAGAGTCCTGAAAGTCTGCCGGAAGTAATTGATTTTGGGTTTTGGCATGTCTTTGGTAAAATAAGTTTCTTATTTATATTTTGAGTGGTTCTTTCAGCCTGGCTGTTGAATTGGGGAAAAAAACCCAAAAAAACCAAACAACCAACCAAAAGCCCTACAACTTGAGTCTTGTGTGGTTTAGCAACCTGAGCCTCACCAATTGTTCCCAACCTCTCCAAAACCAAAACGGGACTAATGAGTGATGACGTTGGTCAGAATAGGCATTAATATTTCAGTTAAAGGCAAGCAGTGATCCCTAAATTTTACTAAGTCGAGGTGCAAGCAAATTACAAGTAATTTAGTAATTATGAATTTAGAATGTTATTAATTTTCAAAGTAATATGATAGCTGTAGCAGTATAATGAAGAAAGAAAACTAATTCCTTTAGGCTGAACATTGATCAGCTTTTGAATTGGGTTAGGGGTGTGATTATTTGTGATGGTGGGAGTTGGTGGACGTCTCTTTCTGGTCTTTTTTTTTTCCTGTTAGCCCAAGGAGGTTTGGGCTCCTGCTGGCTGCAGGAAGGAGTGACATCTGCCAGAGCACTGCTCTTGGCTGGGGGTTATGGAGGGGCTGACTCCCTGGAAATTTGGGGATATAACCTGAGTGTCCCTTTGGAAAAGCTGGGAGTGGCTGCCCAGGCATTTTAGGTGACCCATCTCAAGCAGAGCTGCCCTTATGACAAATCTCAAACTGCTCCTGTTTCCCCTGATTTTTTTGGGAATTACTGGGTACAGAAACACTGAGCTATAAAATCAAGGTTTTAGACATTGTCATTTGTAATACAGAAGGTACTCCCAGGAGATTTAATTTTGTGAGCTGCTTTTTTGTGTGTCACTTGTTTCGGGCATCTGTCCCACATTTGGTCCTTGGCAGGTGAAAAATGTGCAGATWAGTATTTTGTATCCCTTTAATTAGTTTGGTGCAACTCTCTTTTTCCAATTAATTAGGCCAGAAAAACATTCAAGAGGACTTTGCTTTTGGGCACTGATTTCAAAGAAAAACTGAACATAATTGTTTACATGATATTGGAAAATAAATGTTCGCAAAACACATTTGTTAAAGACTCTGTCATTAGATCATGAAACAAATGCAGTTAAAATTTTTCAGCCTCTCTTGATTTATTCAGTGTTGCAAAGAGGCTTTTCCTGTTTTCTTGTAGAAAACAGTGATTTCTTGTGATTGGCACATAGTGTATTGTCATGTCTTTTTTTTTTTTTTTTTTTTTTTTTTTTTTTTTTTTTTTTTTTTGGTTCATTTTCCTTGTTTGTTTGCTTTAAATTGCTTTTGCTTTCTTGTCCTAACACTGGCAATATTCTTCAGTGAAACAGGGAAGTGTTCTGATCAGAAGGAAAGGGAGAGAAATTCCCAAGATGTTGTACGGGTTCTCAGTCTGCTTTCAGGGTCAGTCTTGAAGGAATTTGAAGTATGTGAGTTTAACCACATGGCTTCTGTGAAGTGTGATTTGTGTTATCTGAAAGCTCTTTGTAAATGCATGAATCCTGTGTTATCTAGATTAAAATGTGATCTAGATTAAGACCAAATCAGCATGTGTGTAGGGTATGTATGTTTTTTTCCAGGAGTTTATGGACTGGGAGGCATGTGCATACACCGTGCAATGTCAGATGTACCCTCCGCAGTTAAGGTCCCTGACTTTCAGGCTCCTTTAACACAACATTTATATTGAGGAGAAGGTCTTTGAAGTTCTTGAAGTTTATAGGAGATAACTTCTAGTCACAGGCATGCAGTGAGCCAACCAGGCAAGATGCCCCCCTCAACTTGTGTGGTGGTGCATTTTTTGGGCAATCTCAAGCACGCTCATTTGGGACAATTTATTATTTGTGATTAGACAAGGGTTTGGTGGGGATGCTGTGGCATCCCAGTGATGACAAAACAAGTAATGAGTCCACTGTTTCCTKTAGACTTCCTCTTCTGTTAGCATCCTTGAAAAAGCCCTTCTTGTTATCTGAAGTGGTGCCCCAAGCTTGTCAGTGTTWAAGAAGCATTTGGACAATGCCCTCAACAAGATGCTTTAACTTTCGGCCAGCCCTGAATTAATCAGGCAGTTGGTCTGCATGGTTGTTRTAGGTCCAACTGAAATGGTCTGTTCTGTTCTAACATACTGAAAATTTCTGTTGTGGTTTAGGAGCCTAAAAATTCTGGAAAGCACTTATTCCATTAAGCATGCAAGTAATAAAGCTACACAGTAAAACCCCAGAAAGCACACGTCTACCCAACTCCCTCAGGGATCTTGGCTGATCCCATTTCTTCCAACCACGCTTCTTGACTGATTCCTCTTTCTTTTCTCATCCTCTTTCCTGCTGTTTTCTCTTATTAATGAGCTCTCCCACCTGCCTCGCTCCCCAAAACACTTCAGCTCTTGACCATCTGTCACTGCTGCTGTGCATCCGTGGTGTTACAAAAGAGAGCGCCGACCTTGAGCTGGTGTGTGTGATCTGTGATGAATGGCTGACAGACTGGCGAGTGAGGCAGCGTTGCAGATAAACTCTCTGATACCTTGCACGTGGAGCAGCGAGARATGGGGAGGCTGCTGGGTCTGAACRCTCTGTCAGAAGRTGCAGCTCTGGGAAAAGATGCATCCTGCAATCTGCAGAAGTTTGCGGTGCAACACGTGGATCTGTGTGTGTTTGCTGGGCTGTGAGGTTCACACCCTGCCCTAATCTTTGATTTAGGAGCTGACCTCACTGACTAGCTGCAGCCTAATGTGCAGCTTTTGCAGATAGCTAAAAAAAAATAAATTATAAAATGGCTATGTGAGTGTAGTGAGGCTGAATGCATTTTCCAAGAAAGATTATTTTTGGTTTGGTTGAGACTAAGTTTAGTTGAGTCAGCAGAAAGACTGTTTTTTACTTCCTTTCTCTAATTGTAATTGTAAGCTGRAATTTTAAATCAGCTGCTTATTCAYTGSTAAATTATGAAAATTATGCTGTTCTTCAGTTGTTATAACAAACGTATTTATTTCTTGATTTTTTTTCCCTCAAAGAATGTTTTCTTTGAAACAAAAAGCTGAAGAGTAACTGCAACGATCAATGTTTTTTTGAAATATCTGCTGTAGTATGGGATAGGTAAACAAGACAGGTGTTCAGATTTTTCTGACAAGTTRATTGCCCAAGTCATTTGCAATGTTTTATAAAATTCAAACGCAAGCTGAATCCAGTCTTAGATGTACAAAGCAAGACTGGTTTTCCASGGGAAGGGGTTCATATGTCATGWGGTTAGATTCACATGCAGGTGATCKTCATGTCAAAACTTGTCCTYCAACTCCATGCCCTGTAGCAGAAAAGATGCACTGAACCAGTAAGTGCTGGATTTGTAAATTCGGTGGGATGGAGAACAGCAGAGATAAAGGAGGTCTGGCTGCTCTGTATTTGTGGAAAATGAGAGATGGGTGACCACTGATAAGGTCTGTTCCGTATGGGGTGAAAGAAAGCGGGTGGTCCTGCTATGGCAAGCCTTTGTGACCTGACAAAGCATGTGATAACTCTGATATATTGATGATACTTTGTGTTGGGGGTTTGTGTTCCAACAGTTTCACTCCTTGGCTCCCATGTACTACCGAGGTTCAGCAGCAGCYGTGATAGTGTATGACATCACCAAACAGGTAAAAAACACCTTCTGGATGCTTTTGGGCTGGGTTATCTCCTCTGCCTGGGCCCACCTTGTAGTTAAACCCCATAACTGCAGAATTTATTTTTCTGGGGTGTACATGCTTTGGTAGTTTGTGTAGATCTGGGTGGAGGTGTCCAACTGCCCTAAAATATTTTTTAAAAAAAGTCCTTTTTCTGTGTTGTTTTGATTTCATGTAGACTGCGTTTTGTCAAAGTTTCTTTGGATTTCCTCTGGCCAAGTAGAGCGAATTTATATCCTGCCATACCCCCTGCCACCACCTATGTTCTCTGTGTAGAGTTGAATTTTTACCACAAAAAGCAGCTGTTAGCTTTATCARCTGAGTAGAAATCAAGTTGTTTGCRTATTACTGATTTTAAAACTRATTATTTTTATCTAAGCATATCATTTCATGTTTGCATTGCAGGTCTCATGACTTAATTTAGAAAATGCTAATGAAATAATAAGAACTTTTGTCTCCACATCATTCATTTGGAATGAAAATTGTATTTTTGGATCCTGAACTCCTCTGGCTCATTTCTCAGGCAGAGGAGCCTAGGAGATTCCAGCTGAATGCCTCTTTCACTGCTTTTGGAAGAAACCCCTGCTGATAAAGCTGAGTTAGAGGCAGTGCTAATGGATGGATGGCCAGGACAGTTCACCAGCATTTTATTCCTTCCTTGCCAAGTGAATTATTTACTAGTGGGTTGAGAGGGCTGCTTTGGCTCCCCAGTGCATTAGTGTAATGATCTGTCACTGATGGTGGTGGTCACTGTTGTGCAGCAGTGCTGTTCTCCACTGCTAATTTGCCAGGAAAAGATGAGGAAGAGTGAATCATGCTGGATTGATTCTTTTGATTTTAATATCTTACAGCTGATCTTGTGATATATTGTAAGAATAAAATCTTGTTCTGCCAGCCTTTCTCCAAACTTATGTGGAACAACTCTCAGGATAAAAAGAGGATAATAGGAGAGGAAGGTCAATGTATATTTCACTTTATGATGCTTAATATTCAAAGTTAATCATTAAAGCAGAATGGAGCTTTTTGTTCCCAAATGACTGATAGTGCTCTACCATCAGTGATACTGATGCAGCTCTTGTTGATTTAGACACAACCCTTATGTGTTTTTCTGAAGGAAAAAAAAAGATTTGTAATATATCTGGGAGATCACTTTGTCAGTAATAATTTCAACCATGCATTATAATTAGAATCTCCAGGAACAAGTGTAATCTTAATGCTGCKACTTCACTAGTGTAAAGAAATAGAAAAGATTCTGTTAAAAGATGGGTAGCATCAGAGAGAGTTTGATTTTTGTGCTTGGAGGGGAAAAAAAGTCAAGTGGATTGTCACCTCTCTTCAGTTTCATGACTAAATTGGGGTTTACTGGACCACAGATTTGCAGAAATGCAGGAAGGTGGGCATCAGGTGGAAGCTCTCCTGGATATTTCCAAAAATATGACAGTGGTTGAGATAGGAAGCCACTGGACAGATGTGAAATTAGACAAATKATTAGATTTCCATTAAAAGTGAAGGAAATTAGTTACTGGATGAGCTGGGGTAGTTTCTTCATCATTGAAAATTTCRTCTTCAGTGCTGCTTTGGAGTGGAGACAAGTGGAGGTGGAAAGAGGGAAGCATCCAAGTTCAAGAATTAATTTGAAGAAGTCTTATGTCCTAGAGCCTGAAAAGCAAATTGCATAGACAGATAAATGATCTTCCAGTCTTGTGATCTGTATAATTATTATTGCAGTAGTACTGTCAAAGCTATGCTCCTCTACTTTAAAAAAACAGGCAAATAAATCAGCAGGGAGTGTGCTGGTAGCTTATTTTGTTATTTCTCTGATGTAGGATTCATTTCATACTTTGAAAAAGTGGGTGAAAGAACTAAAAGAACATGGTCCTGAAAACATTGTAATGGCCATCGCTGGAAACAAATGTGATCTTTCTGATATCAGGTAATGCTTTTTTGTTGTTGTTTTCATTGCAGTAACTATATTGTTTCTTTCYTTCAGGTAACAATTTTGCTTCATTGTTATAATAATATGTAATTTTGGCCACTTGTACTAACATCAGCATTCTAGCAATGCACAATGTCAACARCGACAGCACAACCTGAATTATGTGCTTTTTTAACCTCTCTTTTATTGCCTTTCYTCTGTATTTGTACAATCTCTACATCCTTTTATCTGCTGAATCATTGGAATGGAAAAGTGATCTCTTTTTATTTCCTCCCTTCCATTCGATTAGAAGGTGCAGAATATAGTAAGTGATGAGCAAAACCAGCAGTGTAAAACTAGGAGGGTGTGCAAGAGTTAGGAGAATATTATTCACAGAACTTTGAAAACTTTACTTTGCAACAATTGAAACTGTCTCATCATTCTGCATGTAGAAAGTGTATTTTTGGGTTTTTCTGGTAGCATAACCTCAAGTAAAACTTGTGTTAGTTCTGTGAAGCAAAGAGCCTCCTAGGTAAAAGGGGAAGGTTGTATCCACACCSCTGCAGAAGAGCTGAGATGACACTRTTWGRAATGAGGGTGAAGCTAGAATCACTCTTCTGCTTTTAAGCTCTATTTTGGWTTTGCATTTATCCTTTCAGGAAATGGAAGCACGTTCTGCTGTTCAGCAGTGATTCTGTGTATCAGTCCATTATATCTTGCTTCATCTCTGAGTCCAAACTCAGTGATCATATTTGCTGCTTTCCCCTGACGACCTCATAGGCTCTCTGGTTGTTCAAATACATCCCCATGTGTTTTGTTATCATCACTTTGGCCCAGATTCACCAGAGCTCTGGGGCATGTGTGTAACTTCGAGCAAGTGCTGCAGTGCTTTATTGAATCAAGGCTGGCACAAGGGTTTGACTTCTGTGGGTTTTGTTTTGTTTTGTTTTGTTTTGTTCTCCCCTCTGCCCCTCTCAGCCATGAACCAGCACAGAGCTGCAACTCACTGCTTTCTGTAGTGCCTGATTTTGGCAAATTGCTGGTTTTTGTCGGGCTGAGAACCAGGGACACAGAKGTACTGGCATTTCCTACATGATTTTGTGATACGCTGGTCTGTATTGCTGGGTGAAACCGAGTCCTATAAAAATAAAACTTTCCAAATAGGAGGGAACAAAAAAGAAGAAATGATGATTATAAAAATAAAACCAAAAGCCTAACAGTTAGCACAAATCAGGGGTTTTGGTTGTCCTGACAGTAACTTTTAAATTTATTGCCTAAGTGTTGCCAGCGATACAGTTGTCGTATTAACTCAAGAGTAGTAAGTTTGGAGATGGTGACAAACATCAGCAACTGCAAATGAGTTCATTACCAGCCCTCTTCCTCCCTTTGGAAGCATTTGCCATGACAGCAAGCTTTTGAATGCTGTTGCACCAGAGGCAGCTTTAAGTCTTACAAAAATCCTGCATCCCAGAAATGTTGTGGAAGTRCTGGGGTTCTTCACAGACCAGCTTTGATCTGTGATCTTCCCACCATATTATTATCAACGAGACTACCTGTAGTTTAATGATTGCTGATCATCCAGTTCTTGCTCTTGTTCAGCCGGTGTAGCTCTTCTTTGCACAAGTYGTTTTGCTGTGTGAATGATCCTCATTGTACTCCATGAGCTGATGTCTCTTAATCTTTTTGGTTTTTATGGGAGGACTTATTTCCTCCCATAATTACGAGTAGTTTTGGTAGTATTTTTTTAATGCTGTTGTTCTTTCTGCATCCCCCAATCTTTTTTCTTTCTGAAGTTACCCAGTGAGGTCCTGTGAAAGAGATTATGGTGGAAAAACAGAGAGTAGACTACCTTATATGTCACATATTTTCACAGTTCTTCCAGAAGGCTGATTGTTTATGCAATGCATGCAGCTGTATGCATTTTCTGTCTGCTTTATGTCTTCAGATTTACTTCAGTAAAAATGGTTTTCGGTGAAATGTGTCACCAATTTATCAGATTGTTTCCAATGAGCAGAAAATACACATGCCTTTGGGCACAGAGAATTTAAAAAAAAATATAATGTGAGCACAAGGAGCAAGCTGCTGTTTGTATGCATTTTTGGCATCTCYCCTTGGTGTTGCAGAGCTTTTGGCAGATGTTTTGCTGGATATCAGAGATAGCTTTGTTTAAGACCAGCGTGAATAGATGCAAAAGAGGTCAAGCTGACCCAGTTCAAGTTGGTTTGATTCTGCCATCTCTGTGAGTTAAGAGATAACGTAAGGAGGAATTMATGTATTTCTCATAGTCATTGACCAAGTTACTCTCCTTGTTTAGTATCTAAAATTTAGTTTTGAGCTGCCAAGATGTATTTGGGAGACTTAAGGGTCACGTTGGTTTTCCTTCATGTTGTTAATAGGGTATCAGCAATTCTTGGTGCTCTATTGAAGTAAATTTCTTYTCCACTTTGAAGGAATTTCTGCAGATAGGTGAGCAATTTTATCAAGTATAAAGCCTCATCTTTGAAGATGAAGGGATTGAGTGCACCCTCAGCAGTTTGCTGATGACACCAAGCTGGTGTGCTTGACACACTCATGGTGGGAGCAAATGGTGTGAGGAGTCTTTGGATTGGTACATTGGAGCTGTGGGGTGAAATAGTTGGTACAGGTTCTGCTGTTGCTCAAAAATCAGGAATGGAGGTGGTTACAGACAGCAGCAGATTTGGCATTGCCACCTGGCTCAGGCAGATACAAGGCCAGCAAGGGGTTTGCTTGTTTAGAGATCTCTTGCAGGTTGTAAACTGCATYTGCCAGCTTTTGATGTATAAAGTGTTGGTTGCAAAATGAGGGCGTTCCACTGGTGATTGTAAGATGGTGCCACTTTGGTGACATGGCACAGAATGGTGTCCTTCCCCAGTGAGCTGGCACTCACAGATTGCTGTTGCTGATGTGCTCCAAGTCAGTGGCTTYCATATTTATTTCAAAATCTCTTGTTTCCTTGCTGTTGCAAAGACCAGCGCTCCTGTTATCTTGCTTTCTTTGTACAATGATTTTACTGTTTTTGTCCACAGCAGTCGTGCCCTACCTTGTTTGAACATTTGGCGTGTGGAGAGGGCTTTTCTTATCAGAGTCAAACATAAAATACAAAAAAGAGTGGTTTTCTTAAATTATCTTCCTTTTCTCAAGGCATGGATTTAGCAGCAAGTCCCAGAAATCTGCAGATCAATCCATTTTGTTGAAATTTTTTATATAGGTGAATACGACGATCTAAATGCCATATGAAGAAAAATAGTACTACTTTTACAGAGAAGAAGAACATATTAATGCTCTTCTGATCAGGCGTTTTCTGGTGTTGTTTGGATTTTTTCTTAAAACTAACTTYTTTAAAAATTCAGTTTCTTTCATTTGTAAATGTTTTAATTTTTTTTTTCAGGGAGGTTCCTATGAAGGATGCCAAAGAATATGCAGAATCTATAGGTGCAATTGTTGTTGAAACCAGTGCAAAGAATGCTGTTAACATTGAAGAACTTTTTCAAGGAATAAGTAAGTAAATGTTCCCTTTAATTAATTAATTTTGATTGTTTAGAGGTTTTCTGAAAACAGCTGTCTGTTTCAGGTCTATAAACTACTTCCCCAAGGACACCCATAAATCCTGCTGAGCCTCTGGTATGGCTGCTGTTTATGCAGATGTAAACTAAGAGCAACTTTGAATATACCAGAGCAAAACTGTGGATACAGAATAACCCTGCTCCTTCTAAATCTGTGCAAAAATCCTGACCTGGGTCACACCTGCAGTTTCAGACCAAGCCTGCTGTRGAGGCCATACTTTTGATCTTATTATCAAGTTGCTAAAAACTTAAATATTGATAGATGCTCCTGGAGGGCATTGATAAATAGAAAGTAGTCATTGCAGTGGAATACATTAAAAAAAACCCAAACAGAGAAATTCTTTCCAGGCCTTCTAAACATGAAGAGACTGTCACTTGTCATGAGGAGAAGAAAAATGGTCTTTTTCAGTTTGCCTTCCAGGGCTTCCAGTGCTGGTCACTGATGTCAAGTGGGAAGGACCTTGCAGGCTGGAAGGGACCTCACAAGACCTCCTGCTCCACAAAGGCTTGGTGAATTCAGAGCAGGTTGCTCAGGCCATTGTGTGTCTGCCCCTGAGCAGAGGGARCTTCCACAACCTCTTTGGGAAGTTGTTTAAGTAGTCCTCATARTGACATCCCCACATCAAGCCAGAACCTATTCTGATTCAATTTATGGCCACYGTTGCTCCTTGCCCTGTGCCTCACTGAAGAGCCTGGTCCAGTTTCTCAGCAGCCCTTCCCCTGGGTGCTGACAGGCGGCTTTGTGGTCCACCAAAGCTGTTTTGCCCCCAGGCTGAGCTGGCCCTGTTTTCTCAGCCTCTCCTCACAGGGCAAATGCTCCWGACTGCCTTGCCKCCCTCCTCTGAGTTTGTGCCAGCTTGTCAACATTTTTCTTGTGTTGTGGGGTCTGAAGCAWGTGTGACCCAGCTGGTGTTAGACCACATCTACAAGGGGATCACCCCTTTGCCTGATGCTCTGTCYTGGCTCTATGGGCTGCTGCTGGCTGYCTCTGCTGCCAGAGCGTKCTGCTGGCTCRTGCTCAGATTGCTTCCCTCAGGTCCTTTTTGGCAGGGCTGCTTCCCAGGCAGCCATTCCCCAGYCTCTCTCACAGCCAGGGGCTCTTCCTTCCCACAAGCAGGGCTTGGCATTTGTCCTTTCTGAARTGTGTAAAGGCTCCTTTTGACCCATATCTGCCTCCAGCCTTGGGCCCTCCGAAGAGCAGCCATGCCCTCAAGGATACTGAMTGCACCTCTGAGCTGGGTGTCATCTGAGGGCTGAATTGGGTTTCTGTTTCTTCATCCTTCAGGCTCTGATGAAAGTTATTAAGCAAGGTAACTGGCCTGAGAGCTGACCTTTGAGTCTGAAGCTCCAGCCAGCTGCTCACACAGCTAATGGTCTTCCTATCCAGACTGTAACATCCCAACCTGGACATAGCAGGATGTTGTAGGGACAAGCATTTGACAAATATATGTATATTGCCTTGCCAAAATCAMGATAAAAAACATCCAGAGCTCTCCTAGTTATGCTGTGACACAGGGCAACCAGGATGGCTGGGCGTTCTTAACCCTTGGTAAATCCATCCTGAGTAGTCCTGGTCACCTTCTTCACCTTCTTGTGCTCAGAACCAGCTTTTCAGAGGATTTGCTCTGCAGTTTTCCTAGGAAACAAGTGAGGCTAACCAGCATGTAGACCCATGGCTTGTTATTCCCCTTTTTGAAGACGGAGATAACATTCACCTTGCTCCACAGCCTTTCAAAACCAACAGATAAAGAATGGCCTTGCTCCCTGTGCGTCCTCAGGCTTGTATAGGTTAAGATTTCTTAACAGCTTTGTGGTCTGATCTTCTTCCACTACTGGTGTTCTCTCCTCTCACAATCCTGTTCTGGGATGCAGGGACCTAGAGAACAGCATGTCCAGACATTCAGCCTTGTTTCAATGAAATTACTTTATTTTATTTTATTTTATTTTATTTTATTTTATTTTATTTTATTTTATTTTATTTTATTTTATTTTATTTTTAAAAATTTGATTTAATTTAAATTAATTTAATTTTATATTTTTTAATTTTATTTTTATTTTTAAAATACATTTTATTTCTTTTATTTCACATATTTGTGATGAGCTGATATTATCTACCACACTTCGCCTGAGATGGGACCCGTTCAAGTGTTTGCTTTGCTTACATGGGATGTGTTTTAAAGGGTTAATGAGAACCAGTATTCCTAGAATACACCACYATTCTTTTGCCTCCTTTTGGAAGGAAGGTGTGTGCCACATGGCTGTCTGGAGGAACTGGTTCTTCCCTGTGATAGTTCACTTGTTTGTCTGCATCTGATGGCTGCGGATGTTTTCGCCGAGGAACTCATTCTTGCCACGTAATTAGATAATTAGTTTCCATCTTTGATAGGCGTTGCTGCAGCTGGCGGTGTGCACCGTCCCTAATAATGAATATAATAGACGAGGAAAATCAGCTAAATTAAGTTTAGTATGAACTAGATACCCAGGCAAGTGCACTTAATTCCACAGGCAATTACTTCTATATATAGAAATATTTGGTCTCAGTGGATCTACTTGTGACCTTATCAAGCATTCAGCAGAGAGAAAGGAGAGAGTGTTGGTGTAGAGTATGTTTCTAGAAATGTAGTGGAAACAAGTGAAAAATGCTTGATTAGCAGTAGAATTAATTAGTAGGATGGTGACTGTGCGGGGTTATTGATAAGTAACTTTCCGATGTTTTACACCACATCAGTCTTGGCACAATTTCCAAAAGAATCTGTCTCTGCCCATGTTGCATAGCAGCATTTCTGCCCTTTCAGGGTATGAAATCCTCCTGTGGCCATGTCTCCTACCCTGCTGACTAATTTGATTTGTGTGGTGCCCTAGCAGTCACGCTGCAGCTTTAGTTTTGCTCTCATGCTGCCTGAGAGCTCCTGCCCTTCTCCTTGTGCTGCTCCAGAAGGGCATGGTGCAGCTCCCTGGCCTCTGAACAAGGAAGCAGCAATTTCTGTTTACCTTGGACTTTGCAGGTAGACTGCATGTATTGAGTATTTTACAGCTTAGATTTGGAAGGAATTCCAGCATGTGTGGAGAATTTCTGTATTAAATCSTSCTTGAAATCAATAGCYCATGCAGAAARGGTAGACRTYATTTTAYTTTAGCTAAAAAATGTACTTTCTTWTTTCCTATGCTTTTCRTTTCCCAGGGGCATTTTAATATAYAAATTTTCCCTTCCTGAGGTGTCTAACGACTCTCTCTTTTCCAGTGACAGTGTRGTGAATGGAGAGAAATAGTATAATGGAAGAAATGTGCTCACAGTGATAGACAGAAGGCGTAAAGAAAAAAAGGAGAACTKGGATGCTTTGTTGACAGCCAGATAAATCTTGGGAAAATTACAGAGATTATAGAAAGATTGCTTCATTTCTAAGGTTATTATATTACATTGTGCCTAAAAGATTTTTTTAAAGTAAGTTTCTCTCCAATTTGAGGATTTGGCAGCTTCAAGGGATGTCTTCATAGCAAAGTCTCAGCACAAATCTATGGTCCGTAATTTGTCTCAAGAAAATACAAGATGTGAAAGACTAGAATCAGTTAAAAGTTTCTGATTTTTTGAAGATGGGTCAAATTTSGCAGGAGAGGTACTCTGCAGTCGCTGGACTTGGGCAAATAAGGCTGAGGAGGCAGACTGAGCACAAGAGTCAGCAAGGTCAGTGTTCTCTGTGCTGGGGAGTTTGCACTGAGCTGAGAGTAATGGGCTGCAGCTCCTGGGTTCTCTTATGCCCAGGGGATTTCAAATGGTAAGCCACTGCACTTAGCCTGGGTTTGTTTAGCAGTGCCTGGCTGAAGGCTTGCTGTGATTGTGAAATATCACRTGACTGATTTATGTCCCTGTAAACATGAAACAAATATTTTTAATACAGTTGTATATTCCTCACTTGAGCTAATTTTTCCCAGTGTCTTTCTTTAAAGGTTTTTGACATATAAGAGGCTTAACAGTTTAGTGKTTTTCCATTTGTTCCAGTAGTTCTTTTTTAATTGGTGAGTTTCTATAGGAACAAACGTTATTAACTTTTTATTCCCAGCCTTAAAAGAATCATAGGCACAGTGGCTCCTTGTCGCTGGTTTATACTTTAGCAGCAGCAAAAATGCCAGGAATGTATTATACAATAGCAGTATAATAAAGTTGTGCCTGTGCAGGGGGTCATACCAGTTCTGTATTGCCCCTGCTTGTTTGTGGGACTTTAGCCCACTGACCTTTGCTTGTGCCTGGCTGGTTTTCAAAGACTAAACGAGCTGCGCTGTGTGCACTATCATTTAGTGGCAATCATACCCTTGCAATTTTCAGACACCTGTTCATTTATCAGCTCCAATAAGCCTTAGTTCCCTTACTAAATCTGGTGCAYGCCCAGCTGTTTCTCTGCAGCCTGTGTGTGTTACCTGCTACCTCAGTGGGAAGGTGCCCCAGATACGGAGGAGCAGRTTACGTAAAAGCCGCCCTCGGTGCGCGGCAGAGCCGAGGCTGTGCCTCCACAGTTAATGCCAGGTGCATTGGGAGCTCCAGAGGGGACAGGCAGTGGGACAAGCAGCCAGGAAGAGTGCCTGGACAAGGGAAAAGTGACATAAACTTGTGCTTAAATAAAACAAACAAAAAAATGTTAATGGCGTGAGTTATTTTCTTTAAAGTCTGGAAWATCATAGGACCGTGGAATGGTTTGGGTTGGAAGAGACCTTAAAGATCATCTCCCCCACCATGGGCAAGGATGCCATCCAGGGGATCAGGTTGCTCAAGGCYCCATCCTGCCAAATGAGAGATCAGTGTGGTACCAAAGGGGGCAAGATTGAAGCATTTCAGCATTTCTTCTGTTGAGGGTGAGAAGGAAGTGGGGAAGAAGATTATCAGAACCACTCTATGGAGAGTATGAAAGAGTGGTTAGCACGCTCGGTGTTTCTGATGCTCGT